AATCTACCCAGGAGAAAAATCTTGAATGCAGATCTTGATAAATCCTTAAATATTTCTCAAGTTTCGCCCCAGATCTTTCAGGAACTTGTGCAGATTTATCGAAATCTGTCAAGATTCTGAATGGAAGACAATGCTGCAGATTTTCCACAAGTTTTGTGTCAGAATCTGTCGTGATAAATCTTGAGCAGATCTTGTCAAGATATTTCAAGGATTCTGAAATGATTAATTTGATACGCAATAATCAGAATATTCATTAACATATTTGGGAATTTGAAAGAAAATCTTAAACTTTATTTTCTACTTAATATTTTCATTTTTTTACTGTATCACTTCAGTGCAAGTTCTACGGTACTATGCATGCAGTACCACAGCTGTTGAAAGTGCACGAGCAACCATACATTCAAACACAATGTTTGAATTTCACTTTGAAAATTTTCAATGTTCTGTAGTGCTAGTATTTACTCTTATATATGCAAGAACAATCTCAAACAAAATGGTGATTGAAAGAATAACATATTTATTTATCTACCCTATCGACAGAATTTTAGCAGAAGTCCTCTACGCTGTAGTAAGGTGCCTGCAATTCAAAAATGCAGCACTATCTTAGCTTTTGGTCGAAAGCTACATATTCAGATACTCCTGACTGCGCTGATTCCAAATATCACCTTTTTATTCGAATTTGATCAAGTTTTTGTGGAGAAATTCTCAAAATACTAAGAGCACCGAGAAAACAAAAAATTTGCATTACTCAGAGAAAACTTAAAATTTTGCCCTCTTCCCTTCACTGAAATCTTTTGAATGTGATATATTTGGATTTCCCATCAAAAACTGAGCCTAATCGTGTACCTTCGAGTCGCAAAAAACAAAATACCTGTGTTCCACAATTTTGACAAGAGTAAGCACTCGATAAAATGAGCTACCTCTCTCACAAACCTCTCTCCTCCCTGGTTTTGAAACTTTTCTCCGATCGTCATACGTCACTCGGATCGCCATTTAAAGCTGAACAAAAGTACGCATCGCTTTTTTTCCTGATCTTCTTCTCTTGCTGAGAATACCGATTTTTTCCAAATCAGAGGCAGCAAAATAGGAATATCACCCCTAAATCACCCTCTTCTGCACTATAATTAAGTCATTATTCAAAATAAATATTATATTCGGAATCAGCATCAAAAACTGGATCGAACGATTTACATATCAAATAATTTGGTTGACTTCAATTTTTTAGTGAATTTTCATCTGAGAAGTGAGCCAGATTTTCACTAAAAAATTGAAGTCAACCAAATTAGTTGATATGTAAATCGTTCGATCCAGTTTTTGATGTTGATTCCGAATATGATATTTATTTTGAACAATAGCTTAATTATAGTGCAGAAGAGGGTGATTTAGGGGTGCGATTCCTATTTTGCTGCCTCTGATTTGGAAAAAATCGGTATTCTCAGCAAGAGAAGAAGATCAGGAAAAAAACCGATGCGTACTTTTGTTCAGCTTTAAATGGCGATCCGAGTGACGTATGACGATCCGAGAAAAGTTTCAAAACTAGGGAGGAGAGAGGTTTGCGAGAGAGGTAGCTCTTTTTTGGGAATGCTTACGACAATAACTATAAACAAATGCAAAGTTGGCATATTTACATTTTTGTCGAACCTCTGAGTCATGTCGTAATCAAAATGATTGCTAACTTTTTTTGTTAGCAAAGATTTTGTTAATTACAGAAAAGTTTTCAAATCTTGTCAAGATCTTGATCCAGATTTTTACAGGCAAATTCCTCAAAAAAAACTTGGCAAGATCTTGACAAGAATTGTTGAACATTCTTTGAGATCAAGAAACTTGACAGATCTTGTGCAGATATAAACTTTCTGCAGGACGTGGGCTATAGACCCGATGGAATAGTGCCAAATGTTCTAATTTTGCGATTTTAAGGAGGGATTAATGGACTCCTCCCATTTAGATTTTCTTTAAGATTTCTCACTTTGTAGAGGACACTTTGAAGTAACTTATATGTTGTGAAGCTTTTTAGGCTTACTGAAATAATTTGGCTAAGAAAAAATTAATTACTTAAAATAATGATGTTAAATTTTTGAGCACAGCACTAGTACTAAAAAGTTTCCTGGCCGTTCCTCTTTCATCATAAAAATTTGGTTCTCAACTAGATCGGTATAGAAATGTGCGGAGAATATTTACTATGGGAAAGGAAGAAATGACTTTTGCTTTTCCTTTCCGTTAGCTACAATTTGATATACATATAATATACAGAAAAAGTGTCCTAGGGTACCTTGACAATAGAAATGTTTCTGCAAAGCCAGAATTCTGGTCGTAATTCTCAATTCTCTTCATCAGAACTCAACTTTTGTGCAATAGAAACACCATCTTCGGAATCAGGATCAAAAACTGGGTCGACCAATGTGTATGTCGAAGTTTTTCCTAGATTTTCATTTCTTGATGAAAATCTGGATAATTTTTTTGAACGTAAAAACTCGACAAAAGCTAAAGTAATCGAAAAGGACGGACAATACACATTGATCGACCTAGTTTTTGATAGTGATGCTGAATATGATACTTTTGTTGCACAAAAGTTGAGTTCTGACGAAGAAAATTGAGAATTACGGCCAGAATTCTGACTTTGCAGAAACATTTCTATTGTCAAAGTATCCTAGGACACTTTTTCTCTATATTATATATATTAAATTGTAGCTTGAGAAATTCTCTATCGGATGAGGTACTGTCTGAATGTTTTCGTTATGCCGTTATTTTGTAAATGGGACTTTAATCTAGTGGAGAAGACTAAATTAACGTTAATTAGCATAATTAGTTATTGACGGAAAGGACACAGATCTAGATGAGAATCAAATTTTTATGATGAAAGAGGAACGGCCAGGAAACTTTTTAGTACTAGCGCTGTGCTCAAAAATTTAACATCATTATTTTAAGTAATTAATTTTTTCTTAGCCAAATTATTTCAGTAAGCCTAAAAAGCTTCACAACATATAAGTTACTTCAAAGTGTCCTCTACAAAGTGAGAAAACTTAAAGAAAATCTAAATGGGCGGAGTCCATTAATCCCTTCTTAAAATCGCAAAATTAGAATGTTATTAGAATGTTGTCAAAATTAAAACATTTGGCACTATTCCATCGGGTCTATAGACTAATGTTAAAAAGAAAACTATTAAACGACTAATATTAAAAATCGTCACACCTGTCTTGGTTTGAGTTTGTGTGAGAAACTCTTAATGTTGAATGTATTTTAGTATCATCTATTAGAGAACGATTTATTACTTTATTTCGATTAGTGAAACAAACGATAAAATGTTTCAATTTATTTGCATCTAAACCACCAACAAATGATCAACATGATCAGGAAAATCAATTATTATCAACACGTTTATTTATTATACTATTTGCTTGCTCATTAGTTACTTTAGTTATTTACACATTATCAGTGCAACGTACACAAACAATAACAGTTAAATCACTAACGTTAAAGAAATATACAAAACTCTTGAAACAATATCCGCAAACTTTGAGCTGTCCATGTACACAAATAACAATTCCCTATGGTCAATTTATTAAACTATCACCTAAATATCATCAAATATGTTCTAGTCAATTTATTATGGATCAGTGGTCTCAATTTATTATTGAGAGCCGACCACCAATCGATCAAATTTTGTTAAGTGATTTTCGTTATTTAGGTCCATATAGTTTTCGATTATTAAATAAATTTTGTAAATTATCATTAGAAATAGTTGAGAAC